TTGTGATTATTTATAGCGCTAAATGCATGTCGACCTTTGACATCTGATAGACAATTTTTTTTTCAACGATAGACCACTCATTAATTCATATACATGTAATTGCAATTTAAATTAGTTCTTGGCATGTTTATTTTTATAGAATTTTATACCTTTGTTCTCAAATAGCTTACCAATTTAGGAGATGAATATGTGCTTTTGAATTATTTCAAATAAAAGGAAATATTTCTAATAGCAGATTTTTTATAAAGAATCTATTCATTTAGATCCTTAAAGGTTTTTATTTCTGTTACAGGCTAATAAAGCCGGCTAGCAGTAGGAAAGTTCTTATTTTTAAGGTTTTACTTAAACGATCAAGATTTTTCCGTAAGTTCTGCTCTGTATCTGCTCTGTTAGATAAGCAATTGTTATTATTAGATTATGAAAGGGAAATCACCAAAGATGTGGACTACAAGAAATTTTTTAAAATTTATTTTACACATATCTTTAACCACTTTTTAGTTTTGTGATTTGACCCCGCACATTGCCATAATCGTTGGACTCGTCACAGTGAGTAGATGAAAGATTTAAATGTCAATGAAATCACAAAAGGCCTTTTACCAGGAGCATTAGCAATATTTCCTAGGTTTTATCCGTTAAAACAGATTACAGATTTTTTCAAATATTCAGCAAAGGAGCTGGTTTATTTATTTATTTTTTGAAACTTTGAATCTGTTACTAGATTTATAAGGAAAGCTGTGATGAATTACTTCAACAGCATGCTTTAGTAGTCCAATCCGTGACCTCTTACTGCACAAAAAGAACTTATACGTTTTAAAAACAACATGATTATCCAAAACAAGACTTGACTCGTTTGTTTAAAATTCTAACCCTTTGAGAATAATTTCAAGTTAATTGGCAATGCACGCATGTACTTCTCGTAATTTAAAAGCATTGTTGTGAACCTCTTTTGAAATTGAGACGTTAGAATAATAGGGTTCTATTTTCCCTTTGTAATGCCGACAGAGTTTAACAAAATTTGTTAAATTCGTTTAAATAAAAGATCGAGGTATCAAGTTTATTTTAATAGATTGCTTTTAACACACATTACTTATTTGTTAAGGTGGATAACCACAAAAAAAAAATTTCAGAACTGTAACAAAACTTTAAAAACCTCCATTTGTTTCAAATAGGTACATATATTTCTCGCAACGTAAATATCGCTAAATGTGTAGATCTTTCATTAAAAAAGCAGAAAATTGTCAAAATTACGTGTAAATGAAGCATTTAACACCTACTCTTGCAACACGATTTTTTAAGCTATAGTAATGTTAAAGCTTTGAAACTTAGCAATTATCTGTCAACCCATGAAATAAAAGGAATGAATTAAAATCTCAAAAAACAAACACTATTTAGCCTTTTTATTTAACATTTTTTGCTTTTTGCAATATTTTTAGGTAGAGCTATTGCGACGTTAGAATTATCTTGTTCTATCTCCACTTTCTAAAAAAATTGAGTTAATGTTAGTGTTGTTTTCCTCAAAATATTGTCTTTCAACTGAATTAAAATCTAAGTTATAAGTAAAAAAGTTGCGGAAAAAACATAAGTTATAAAAAAAAAAATTATACGCCGTCTCCTAAAGTTTTCGTTTATTAAATCGTTTTATCTCAAAACTAAAAAATGTGGAGATAGAACAAGATATTATAACTTTCAAATTCACGTCAAATAAATTTCTTCCTTGCTTTGAATTACTTTTATAAAGCTCATTTGAAGTGTATCTGTTAAACTCATATTTACGTTTTTGTTTTTTTATTGTTAATTTTAACCTTATTTAATAAAGTTGGAATTAACAATTAATTTGTAAACAAGCAACTTTAAAAATATTAAAACTAATAATGTAAAATTAATTATAAAACATAAATATTTTTAAAACTTATGTTTTATCAATATAAACAACAGCAGCTGTAAAGTAAATATATAATTAATAATGAAAAGTTAAATTCTTGCAACGTTAAACAATTAACCCTATTGTTTTAACGTCACGAAATGTTCAGAGTTATTGAAACTTTAGCAACTTCATTTTCAACACTACATTTCTTTATATAATGATAAATATGATTAACAGCTCCCTTCATTAAGTGTAACTCTGGTGGAAAGAGGTGGTCTACCACTAGGTGGTCGTTGGTTTCTGTGTGTATCTGGAGTGTTAATAACATTGCATCTTAAGCATTTGACTAAACCTGATTTACAGAATTTTTTGTATTGCCGCTCTAAAGTACCAAAAGTTCCAAACTTTTTTCTTCTTTAAATGGTTCCATTTTTTAAATCTTCCCATTCTCTTCTTTAAATGGTTCCATTCTTTTCCATTTGCATATATGGCAAGGTTGTGTAGCTATAGCAGTCGGAGATAAGCCACACATCATTTGACAAAGTTTAAAATCAGCTACAAATAAGCGTTTTATTTTAATTAAATTAAGACTGCTCAATAATGAAGAAACATTATGGTGACTTTCAGAAATATTTCAAACTAAAGCTAGTAAAAAAAAGTTTCTACAGAACCTTCTTTATATTTTGAATTCTCAGATTCTGTATAAACACTCCTTGTTGTTTTGTTTTCGTGATTATTTTTCTTCTACTTTTCAACTTCTAAACCTTCGATCTGACAATCTAAGAGTAGGTTCAAACAGTTCGAAAATATGAAAAATATCATTTTTACAAAATGTTGAACCTTTTTTAGTTTTAGCTGAATCAAGCGCACTGAGTAATATTAGGAATAAGATAGAAAAACAGATACATATTTTATTTACCTTCAGAAAGCCTCTTCCTCCATCAATACCGAGTTTGAGTATTTGATTGTTTAGGTTCTTTTCTTTAGTTGCAACAAGCAACTTTAGAAACTCCTTGATATCTGCACTCAATAATAGGGAAATTTTCCTTTACTTGCAAATTTCCTTTCTTCACGTCAAATTCTTGAAAATCTATTATAAATAAATATTCAAGTGCACTGTCAATTACTGGAATTGCTTTTGTCAGGTTTGATTGTCGGGAAATTTTTCCTTTAGTTGATGTTTTATTTAAAACAAAGTTTGTTAAAAATTTAGCTGTATTCATTAAAAAGAGTAATAAATAGAATATTTCAAAAAGTTATTTTTACCTTATTTCTATAGCTAGTTGTATAAGTTTCTTGTTGGACAAAGTAAGTCTTGATCCTAATTCAATCAATCAATATGATCTGTCGAGGTTGATTTTTTAAAGATCCTACTGATACTTGCAAAGATTTTGCACCTGTACCATGTTTAACTCTTTTTAATCTTTAATCATATGCAAACTTTAATTGTAGAAAACAATTTTTATTTAACTTTTGCCCTAAATTACAAAAAGGGGCGAAAATTTCTCAATTAACCCCTTAAAACGTAAATATTTTGGAAAAAGGAATTTTCTGAATTCGGTGACATATCAATCCTAAATCTACTCATCGTAACAAATCCAACGATTTATGACAATTGCTAGGGTCAACTCACAAAATTAAAAAGTGGTTAAGGGCGTGTGTGATTTAAAATGTAATATGCTTATCAAAATTTTATACATTTTATAAAATAATAAATGTGGTATATCATGGAGTCCTAGTTTTAGCTTTGATTTCCAGACCTATGAAAACACAAGTTTTTGAAAGCTATTTTTAAGTGAGGACTTTGCTCAATGCTGGAATCGTTTTAACTATTGCAAAGACTATTAAACAAAAAAACATTCCTCAAGGAAATAGAAGAAAAAGAGTTTCAACTACCAGCATACAATTTTTTGTTTACTTTTACTTATTAAGTGGAGAACATTATATTATTTTCACTCAAAGTCAAATAACTTTAAGTGAAAAAGATATGCTTTTTTAGGAAGTTTATGAGTTTAAACAATTTTGTTAAAGTTCCAGCTCTTTTCATCTATAATAACGTCTAAATTAAGAACGTTTTTTAATTTTATTAAAAACAATTTGAAGCAAACCGAGCAAAATTGATGTTTACAAAGATTTTAAATTCTGTATAAACAAAAAAAAATCTTTTTTTTTAAATTTTTTTAAAAACACAAGAAGAAGTAGCAGTATTTTTTTAAAAAAAATTCATTTTGTTCAAAATTTTAACTATATATTGTCCAATATGAAGTTTATATAAAAATATTTCAACTTAAGTTTTACTAATTCGTTTTTACTACATTAAAAACTACCTCATAAATCGATACAAATTGCGGTCGACCTCTGACACTAGAACTCAGGCATTTTACGAATTGCGTTTGGATCGAATTGTTCCACATATACAAATATTTCAAGCATCCTATAAGCAAATAAAGAAGCAGCGGTGCAAGAATTTGCAATCAAAATTTATATCTATTTAACAATTAATAATTCAAACTGAAGAGTTTTTTATTTGTAAAAAACTACTGAAAAAATTAACGGTTTTGAAAACATACTGAAACAAAATGATATTTTGGAAAAATACGTTTTCAATTAAGCATTTGCTCAATTAAAAAATGAATTCTAACCACTGCAGCCGTTTTACAGTGATTAGAGTTATGGTTTTCGGACCTTTTGGTTCGAACTCGAACTAAAAGGTCTGAGTTTGACGCCGGTTTAAGCTTAATAAGTGATATTAGTAAGAAAGGAGACGTGAATTTCCTAGGTAAATCTATGGTCAGGACATCTAGGAGCACCTTAATAAATGAAGAATTAAATACTAAATAACTAAGTACAAATGTCTTGTACAGTTGGTAATGTTTTGTATCTTTGTACAACTAAAAGCCAAAAATAAATATGTTATTAATAATGTTGTTTACGTAATCTTAGAAAAAAAAACAAAAGAAAAAATTAATTAATTTTAGTTAACGGTGTCCGACTCGACGAATTTTGCATTCAAGTTGTGTAATCGGTGATGCAAAGGATTCTAAAAAGTGTTGCACAAGCAGTTAAGAACAGAAAAGGCATGAGAAAACTCCTTTTAAGTACATATTTATTTCTTTTAAATTATATATATTATTAT